CAATTCAATATCCTTAAACAAATAATAAAAAATAATAGGGAAAATGTTAGTAAGTTGGATCGAGAAAAAATTATGAAAAAATATTTCAAAATTATGTTATTTAAATAAACTCTAATCAAAATAAATAGTCTAAATTAGCATATTTTTATGATAAGAATGAAGAATATATTAGTATTTTTTGTGATATTTTATTAGAACATCTTAATTTTGAAGTATTTTCACCTTATTTTTTTGGAAGTCTAGTAAATAAATACTAATCTCATATAAAATATAATTTCTTTTTTGATTTAATTATAGATATTAATGAACTTTCAATTAAAATACAAATCTAATTGTTGAATTAATAGAATATAAATTATACAAAAAATTATAACTAATATAAAATCTATTTTCATACCCAAATAAAATTATTTGTCTTAATAATTGATTATAAAGAAAGAAATGGTCCCTTTACCTAGCTTCTAAATATTTTCTTTAAATTCAAAAAGGTTATTGTAATTCAAACATCAAAACAAATTTTGTACTAATTAAAAATTAATGTACTAGATTAAACATTTTTCAAAAGTTTAGGGGGGCAGCTGCCCCCGTTGTCCTATGGTAGCTCCATCCCTGCATATGGTAATACAAAGGAAAACACTATCTAAATGGTATTACCTCTTCACATACCAAAAGAAATTAAAAGCATGCTGCAAAAAAAATAATATGAATAATGATTACATGAACCAATCTCTTCACCTATATTATGGTTTTTTGTTTTTATTATATTTTTTGTAAATACATATCCTAATTAATATAAAGGTAGCATTTTGAAAAGAATAATAAGAAATAAATGTAATATTATATTATATTTTAAATAAATGCATACCTTACTTAATGCATAATGTAGCATATTATATATATACATATAAATTATTCAATGTTGGATATATAGACTTTGTTTATACATAGGTTAGCATTTTGATTTTCTTTTTTAAAATAAATTTTATTAGTTATTTATCTAATAATCAAATAATTTTTATCTCATACTTTTATTACTATTTTTTTCATCTTCATCAGTTATTTTTAATCATTATTTAATCAAATTTATAATCCTTAAAAATTGAGGTTGAAAAGTATCAATTATTATTTTAATAAAAAAATCAAACTATAGTTATTCTTAATATACAAGATTTACATGAAATATTATAAAATAAGAGAAAGTATTTAATAGTTATTCTTCTTCTTTTCATAAGTCTTGACAAACTTTTTCTTCTATAATTGCTTCACTTGCAAAATTTTGTTTTATGGGTTTTTTCTTATCCCTTCTCTCATTTCCAATTTTGTGTTTTTTTTTTTTTTTGTTCAAGTTATATTCTTTAACTTATATTACAAACTATTTTGATATGTTAATATAAATACTCATATCAAAGTTACAAAAAGAAAGGGATTTGAATGAATTTTCTAAAAAAAAAAAAAAAAAATGAGATTTTGCAACTTACATGTTCAAATATATGTAGTAGTCATATTAGAGATATATATATTTATATACAATTTTAAAAAAAATGTGAAGTAGAATTTATATTTAAAAGGACTAAAAAATTAATAATGGTATAATATGAATAAAATAAGAAACATAAAATCTTCTTGCACAAGAAACAATATCTTCATATGACTTCATCTCTATCAAATTCATACCTTTTTTATTCGGTTTAATGTATGAATCAACATTTTTATTGCTTCAATTGACCTCAATTCCTTAAACTCACAAGCAAAGTTTGCTCCTTAACAAACACACAAAAAAAAAAAAATCAAACCATTAATAATTTACAATGAAAAGAATGCATAAATTTCAAATAGATAAAGTTACAAAATTCTTTTAAAAGAACAACCATCATATATTCTATAAAAAATTCATAAAAAAGAATAATAAGACTAATAAGAAAAATAGTTCATACAACAATATACATATTTTGGATAAAAAGGAAAAAAGACAAATAAAATAAAAACATAATATTATATTTAGTTATAAAATGAAATAGGAAACAAAAAGATAAATAATATTTAGAACTCATCGTGTTAGTAAAAAAAAATTAAGAGATGAAGAGGAGAATATGATATATTAATGTAGAGAAAAGTGAGGGTTTATATATGGATGGGTAGGAATATGGAAGGGCATGGAGAAAGACTATTTATTATTTAATTAATGTAATTTTTTATTTTTATAATAAAATGTATATTTGTCTTTTAAAATTAAAATAAAAATGATAATATTTAGTGTCTAATCATGCATTATAAGGTAAAATGGAATTCTCTCAATTATTTGTTGATGTGAATTTCACCCTATGTATTTTTTTTTTATTTCGAAGTAAGTTATTACGCAATTTTTAAATAATTAAATGCATATCATATTTAATGCATAAGATAGTATTTTACATATATATATATAGATAGGTAAATAAATAGATTTATAATTACCATATTATTAATTTTTTATTACTTTCTTCACATTAAAATTTAAAACAATTACAACAATGATTATAACTCATAACTTTATTGTTGAGGATAAACATAAAGTCTAACATAAATAATAATTTGATATATAATGGTATAACTTAAGATGGGAGAAAATGAATAGTTTATCCATTAATAATTGTATATAATACTTATATAATAAATAATAAATAAATA